CGCTCGTGCACTGCGCCTCCGCCTCGCCTCGCCGGTGCCCGTCCCCATCTCGTCGTGTGCATCTTAGTCGTGCGGGCAGGTCGAAAGGCGGGGGGGGTGCGGGGGGGCGCGCGCCGCGCCTACTCCTCCTTCTCGGCCGCGGCGCCGCGCTTCTGCTCCGCGCGGCGCTGGACGGCCGTCTTCTCGACGGCGCCGGCGTCGCGCTTCACCTTGGAGCGCTCCCAGGCGGACGTCGCGCGCTTGCGGTTCCAGACGAGGCCGAGGGCGGCGGCGCCGTCGATGAAGAGCTTCGTCGGGTTGAACTGCGAGCCGATGCCGAACTCCGACGCCGCGTAGTCGTAGGGGTACTTGTGGTGCCAGTTGTGCCAGCCCTCGCCGATGGAGGCGAGGCTCACGAAGGGGTTCTCCGCGGGCCACTGGTCGTCGTAGGGGTGGTCGCCGAAGAAGTGCGCCGCGGAGTTGACGAGCCACGTGCAGTGGAGCACGACGACGTAGCGGAGCGCGCCCGCGACCCAGAAGGCGTTCCAGAAGTTCTCGCCCCAGCCGAACTTCGCGACGAGGGCCGGGAAGACGAAGCACATGAAGAGCGTGAACCAGGGGTCCAGGTGCTTCTGGAACATGACGAAGCCGTCGCGCGACAGGTCGCTGAAGTCGAGCTTCTTGCCCTCGACCATGATGTCGGGGTGCTTCTTCACGTAGAGCCAGCCCATGTGGGCGAAGAAGAAGCCGCGCGTGGCGTTGTGGGGGTCCGCGTCCGTCTCGCTGTGCTTGTGGTGCACGCGGTGGTCGCGCGCCCAGTGGTAGATCGACCCCTGGTTCGCGATGCTGTTGAAGAGCATGAGCGTGCAGCGCACGACCTTGCCCGCCTCGTAGGACCGGTGGCTCCAGAGCCGGTGCACGCCCGCCGTGATGCCCAGGCCCGTGATGGGCCAGAGGATGTACGCCCAGAGCAGCGTCGGCAGCATGCACGACGTCACGCGGAAGAGGCCGATGACGGCCCAGTAGTGGCACAGCGAGATGTAGATGCCCATGGGGTAGTTCATGTTCCCCGCCTTCCAGTGGTACGAGATGGCCTCCCACCAGTGGAGGGGGTTCAGGTCCAGGCTCTTCGTCTCGGGGTACGCCTCGGCGGCCTCCTTCTTCAAGACCACCTCAGCCGCCTCGGGGGACGCGGCCTTGACGGCGGCGCCGGCGACGAGGTCCGACGTGGACATGGTGGGTGTCGGGGGGGCTGTAGCGTGGGCGGGTCGGCGCGCGCGGGGCAGAGTTGCCGACGTGGCTGCGCGATCAGTGCGGCTGTCTCGTCTTCGACGCGATCGTCACGCCTGGGGGGTTTTGGGCCGTGGCGAAGAACTCGCGCCGAAGCCGCCGCCGACGTCGTCGCTGCTCGTGGACGCCGATCGATAGGCGGCCCGTCGCACTTCGTGTGCTCGCACGTGAGCTCGCCCGTGTGAGGCGACGA